AATCCTCTGTAACTTAATACTTGTGCATTATAATCCACAGCCTAAACCCAATCTACAGATTAATTAAAAAGAAGACTTCTGGGTGCAGCACAAAGTGCACATGTTAAAGTGGCATGGCAGTGTAAGTGTTACTCTTCTCTGTTGCAGGTTCTACATATAAGAGGTGTGACTTTGAGGAGGGTTTCTGTGACCTGATCCAAAGCTCGGAGACGTCCTCTGAGTGGACCAGAACTACTGAGGTTGCAGGACTCAAACATGACCACAAAAACAAAACATCAGGTTGGAGCAGCTGACATTTCCACATACAAATTACACCTATAGAGAATGTTGTCTTTACATTTTAATTCTCTCTCTCTCTCTCTCTTACAGCACATTTTCTGTCCCTTTCACCCATCAGCGGAAACAGAACCAGCTCAGATCTGAGCAGTCCTGTCTTCCTGCCCAGTCAGACCTGCCAGGTAACAGAATCCTCTGATCCTGGCATTAATCACGGCAAAAACCATTAACAATGTCAACTGATGGGCTTCCTTTCATTTTCATTCATCAGCTGAGTTTCTACTATTATGTTGGGGGAACACGTGGAGATGTTCAGGTCCTGGTTCAGACTCATCCAGCAGGTCAGAGCACAGAAGTGTGGAAAGTGTCCACACAGCTGCCGAAGGAAACCTGGCTGAGGGCAGTGATTCTGTTTTCCAGCAATGACAATTTTAAGGTCTGTAACAACCATTTGATTAACTATAAATGAGCTGCTTAATATTGAAAAACGTTTGTTGCATGTTATATAAAGACATCGTATATAAGCTATGGCTATATTATATAGTAGTGCATTTTGTATTTAAGTCTAATTAGCCACATCTGTTACATATAGCAGATAACATTAGGTATTATTACATCACTCCAGACACCAGTTTGTCAGTCTGACCCACCAGATTTAGGCAGTCGGCATAAGCCTGCCATCTCCGCTGTGTATTTCATAAGGCATTTTCCTCCCCTTCCGCTGTCTGCGAGCTCCAATTTTTAAAATCCCCCTCGGAAAACAGCAACTTCAGAGCAACAACCTACACGCTGAAAATGGCAAGTTTTACTGATTGCCTGCTTAGTTCTTTCAGTAAATTAGCTATTTTAATGACAAGTGTATCCCTGCGTGCAAATGTTCCACCAAAAGAATTCCCCCATCACTATTTCATTTATTATTTCCGTCAGAGATGATTGTGTTTTGGTTTTAAAGAAATACACACAGGACAGAGTGTCTTTTCTCCCCATAGCAGAATGATTATTGGTGGAGCCAAACCGATCTACAGCGCTGACACATTGCCATGAAAATAGTTTTGGCTGTTCAAAACTACCAGTTTGTTAATGGTCAATCAAATGTTTTACTACATTTGGCCCCACAGATGCTACTCTTCTTTCATTTTCAGTTTGTTAGAGTAGTCCCTCTGCAATGTTTGTTTTTGTGTTGTTTTGGGTTGAAGTAAGATGTCAGAGATGTCTAGATTCTGTTATAGTGTCGTCATGCAGGTCAGCTGCAACATGGAGGGTGATGGTGCTCTATAATGGCTGGATGTGTGAATAAGTAACGCTTATTGTGATGTACAGCTTCCATTTTGCCTTATCGTACTGTACCATAAGCACCTTTCAGGCATTAAATGTGTCGTCTTCATGTCTGAATGAACACCCTGGTCAGTGATCTTTCAAGGTCAAATCTAGTACCATTTCTACATCACTTTCATCGCAGCACAAGTCTGACCTGCATGCTGTAACATTGTTGGTTTGGCCCAAAGTTACTTTGAGTTGTCTGAAGTGATTTGAGGAAGGTTTTCTCCACATTTCAGCATAAATATTAAACATAAAAGAGCCTCACAGAGAGCACAAAAGACACAATTTGTGTGCCAAAACACAACACATGTTTCTTGTTCACTTTAATCTACAAGTTCACATCCATTTGACTACAAACTGAAATGTCCATAAAACTAAAACCTGACTCTAATGAAAACAGACCTAACAGCTCAGATCAATAATACTCACCAATAATTGATGTAATCTGCGGTTATTGTTTTTTAAATTCAGTTTGTTGCTTCAGGCTGTCCGTAAGAGTCTTTGTTTTGAGTTTTTTAAATACCTGCAGCAGAAACATGAAAGTTATGCACATTTATGCACATGGAGCAACACCGGTAACCTGATGAATTATTAATAATTAATAACTTATCGCCAACGTGGAGACGTGATCAATCAGGTGCATAGAGGCCGTCCTCAGGTTGAGTCCTGAGCTCCGCCACAGCTGTCGGGATGGTTTTATTTTAGTGTTAGTAAAATAAACTCACACATGGACAGAATTGTCAGTGATTAGGGAAATCATCAATAAACTATGCTACTACTTGTGAGGCAGTTTACTAAGCTGCTATGAATTTAGATGTTGTCTTCATTATATAATATACATCACTTGATGTCCTGTCCAATTATGCATGAAGGACACATTTGTTGTGGCTGTCTCCATCATTGTTGTGGGTTTGTTTGAATGAAGCCACAAGAAAGTGACCTTTATCTTAATGCCGCCTCTTTGACAACCTGACAAAGCCAGCAGTGTCAATGTCATGTATATGTCTGCATATCTGTTTATATTTTTAGTAGGTGTTGCAGTTTACAGTGTAGTTTGAGGTTCCTTGAAACTAATAAAGTCATCACGGCAGAAATAAGCTGCACTACAGGAGCCATTTATGTGCATTGAGAGGGTACTGACCCAACTGGACCCTTCAGAGGCCATCTGGACTCCTCTGAAGCCTGCTGTTTGTGCCCTTCCAGTCTCCTCAGACAATGTCAATGTGTCACCTTCTCCTCATCTCTGCCTTCACCATCTGTCACTGAGTACAGTCGCTGTAGCTTCAAGATGTGGCTGCCTGGTACCAGGAGTAATTACAGGTCATCCCTCTGCTAACGTTCACGTTCCCCTCCATTAATCCACTTACAGTTTCAACGCCAGTTTGGTTAACTGGGAGTTCATTTACCGTCGTAATTTAGGGCGATTTTAATTCCAGTGTTTGCTTAATGAGCTGCACTTTTAAGTTGAGGTTGTGGTCTAATTGTGTTGCAGAAAGACTTCCTTCCTTTGGTCAGCTTCAGTGATATCTATACATCTAAAATCTATAAACATTTTGCCCAAAGTTGTAAACAGAAAATCTAATCCGTGATATGATTAAGGAGTGTTTTTACTGAACTGCTTCTACTGACAGTAACTAAGTGAGTCTGATTTTCTGAAAGCGAGAGTACATTGTCTGGATCAGATAAACGCGCTAGTTTGGCTGTGAAATCCTAAATAAGCAGTTCTGCAGACTCATTGCTGCAGATTGTATTACTTTTATAACCTCAGTGTCCAGTTTTAGGAGTCAAAGAAATAGCATCTGACAAGCATGACTGATGGAAATTCTGTATTTGAGTGCATTTTCACATCAGCCACGATGGCACAATCTCCCATTTGTTTAGATCGGTCATAAATGACGGGTCGTAAAACTGCACTGGTGTAGATAAAGCTGTTCTGTGGACTTTGATCAGTGCATCGACGCTATTACTGTGATTGCATGCTGACGGAGAAGATTTGATGTTTTTAGCACCACGGCTCAGGGATTGGCCTGCCTCGAACGGAGCAACATTAGCAACTATTGGATGGGTTGTCATGAGATTTATACTCATTCCACAAAGGATGAAGAACAATGACTATGTTGATTTGGAGAGTTTATTTTCACAAATTCAGTAAAATATCTAAACATACATTACATAAGAAATTATGCTGCCATTTATGTTCTCTACAGGATTAATTAGAATTACTCTTCTTATCTCCCTGACTTTTCAATTATGTACCTGCAACGTTATTGACATTAACATCAGCTCTCAGCGGTGCTAAATAACGAATGTTTGCATGCTAGCACACTGAGCTAAAATGTTACATGTTAATTAAATTATGTTCTTTTAAATCATTTACTTTAATTAATTGGTACATTTAGTTACATCATTTTAGTTTTAAAACCTCAAAATAAAAATTGAAAATGAAAATTAATTTTAATTTCAAATATATTTTGTTAAAATATTCACATTTATTTTATAAAATGTACAATATTTCAATTTGAATTTCATAGGTTATATGTACACTGCTCAACAAAAAAGAAACACTAAAGTAACACATCTTAGATCTCAGTGAATTAAATATTCCAGTTGAAAAACTTTGTTCAGTACATAGTGGAATGTGCTGAGAACTAAATAACATAAAAATGATCAATGTAAATCTAAATTATTACCCCAATTAGATCTGGATTTGGAATCATACTCAAAATAAAAGTGGAAAATCACATTACAGGCTGATCCAACTTCAGTGGAAATTCCTCAAGACCGGTCAAAATGAGGCTCAGTAGCGTGTGTGTGGCCTCCACGTGCCTGTATGACCTCCCTACAAGGCCTGGGCATCCTGATGAGGTGGCGGGTGTTCTCCTGAGGGATTTCCTTCTAGACCTGGATTAAAGCATCAATCAACTCCTGGACAGTCTGTGGTGCAATGTGGCGTTGGTGGATGGAACAAGACATGATGTCCCAGATGTGCTCACTTGGATTCAGGTCTGGGGAACGAGCAGACCAGTCCATAGCATCAATGCCTTCATCATCAGGAACTGCTGCCCACAGCCAAACTGGTCATGCTGGAGGATGTTGCAGGCAGCAGAACGTTCTCCATGGCGTCTCTAGACTCTGTCACATCTGTCACATGTGCTCAGTGTGAACCTGCTCTCATCCATGAAGAGCACAGGACGCCAGTGGTGAATGTGCCAATCTTGGTGTTGTCTGGCAAATGCCAATCTCCCTGCACGGTGCTGGGCTGTAAGCACAAGCCTCACTAGTGGACGTTGGACCCTCATACCACCTCATGGAGTCTGTTTCTGACAGTCTGAGCAGTAGACTGTAGACTATCGCTTTTTATTGTTTGTTTTGTGTAATGCACTTTAGTTTTTTGGTCCGCTAGCTTTGCCGTGTTTTCTCAGTTGGATCAATATTAGTCTTAAGCCTCTCTCAGATCTGCACTCTGGTCCACTAACATGACGGCAATTTAACATGTAGGATTTATGTCTGAATGCACAACCTGGTCATGGTTCTGTAAAAGTCGTGCCAGTAATGTTTTCGTGGTCTTTACAACAAACTTATTTTGTTATAAAAACGCTGACTGAGTGATATCTTCTCTCTTTTTT